CAGCGCAGCAGGAAAGCTCCCGGACGGCATCACGGAGCTTGGTCGGCTCGGGGAGGCCAGAGCTCAGTGCCTCCCTCATGGCCTGCCTGGATTTCGGGAAAGGAACTTTGGAAAGAGAAATAAAACAAGAAAAAAAAAAAAAGGGAAAAAAAAACACCAAAAGCGGCGGTGCCGGCAGCGCTGCCCAGAGGCAGCGGGACCGCGGCGGGGCTCGGGGCTGCACCGGGCAAGAAATCACCAAAACTGCCCCATTTTACCCCTTTTTCCCAGCCCAGGGACGTTTTCTCTGCCTGGCAGGGAAGCACCACGTCGGACAGCGCAGCTCCGTCCCTCCGCGCCCCGGTCTGCGCCTCTCTCAGCCTTCCCGAAAATCGGATTTATTCCCCGGATTTATTCCGCAGACGACTCGGCGGGGATTTTCCTCAGTGCCAACAAAACCGCGCGCTGGGAGAGGGGATTCTTATCGGCTAGCCGCGATTCTTCCCCCATCCCCTTATTTTTTCCTGCATTCCCTTATTTCTTTTCCCCATCCCCCTGGGTTTTTTCCTATTTTTCCCGCATTCCCCTGTTTTTCTTCTAAATCAAAACCACGCGAAGCAGCGGGGGGGAAAACACGCCAAAAAGCTGCGAGCGCAGAAATACGTGATTATTATTACGATTATTATATTTTTTGGAGGTGTGGGGGGGGGTTTGAAGCCCGGACCCGCGGCCGCGGAGGGGAGCGAGGGAAGGCGCGGGGGGTACCGGGGGGCCCGCGGAGCCTTACCCGGGTGCGAGTGGAGGCTGATGCCCGATGCGAGGAATTTCCCGGGCTGGAGGGCGGCGGGGAGCCCGGCGGCCATGGGCCCGGCGGCGGGGGCCAGGCGGCCGGTGGCTCCCAGGCGGTGGCTCTCCATGGCCAGCCCGGAGAGCAGCGGAGGGGGGCCGTGCACCGAGCGGGGGGGCCCGAAATCTCGGCCATCCATCATCCACTCGCCGGCTTCACGGAGTCTCCCGGATCGCTGTCGGTGCCCGCCACCGCCTTCCCCCCCCCCCCCCCCCGCCCCCCAGCCCCCTCCTCCTCCTCCTCCTCCCCCAAAAAATCAGATGGTTTTCAAAAATAAGGCGTCCAAGCGTCCCATGGCGCGGTGCAGGGAGCCAGCCCCGGCGCGGCGGTCTCGGCGCTGCCTGCAAGGGATAAAAAAAAGGGGGAATGCGTTGAGACGACATGCCCCGACACCCCCCCTGCTCACAGCCACCCCCAAAAATACACACACACACCCCCAAACCCCACCCTCACCTTCCCGGGCTGTGGGGGAGAGAAGGGGGAAGAAGCGGAGAGAAAAAAAAACCTAAAAATTAAGGAAAACTTGTGGCAAAACACGAGGACAAAAAAAAAAAAGTATTTAAAAATAATATTTTACCAATTTAATTTTTTTTTTGGAAGAGTTACGTTTGTCACGGCCACAGCCCCGGCCGGGCCGGGGAGCGCCCGCAGCCCGGCTCCGGCGGGACCGACCGGCGGGGACGCGGCAGCGCGCAGGGAAACAAACCCAAAAATCCCAGAACGGCAAAAAATAAACACC